TTTTTTTTTCCTTTTCAGTCTTTCAAATACCAAAATTTGCACTAAACTTTATATTTCTGTCTGATTGTCTCATTTTTAAACCTTAAATCAGATGGTATGATCAGTACTCAAGTAGCTTTTTTAACTCTTACTTGATTAAAACTTGGTTGGGGTAGTTCTACTGTTACTCTACCACCTCTGGTCCTGTCACATTCCCACACAGCGTCCTGCTGAATGTAGCACCGAGTAAGTCGGATGAGCTGCGAGCAGCTTATTTAAGAAGCAGCCTCTTGACTAATAAATATTCCCAGATCAGCTTTTTCTGTTTCAGCTGTGCAGCAAAGCTGGCGTTAAATGCACCTTTTGCAGTCATGTGCTGCACTGCTGCTTTTATAACACAGGTTTGGTTGAACAGGCCTCTGGCTTAAGACTTATCCAGTGTACCATATTTTGAACTGTGTGTCTGATGCAACTGAGGGGATTATAAAGTCTTAGCAGTTTGTAGTTTACCTCATTGGAGTATAATATTGTTTAGAAAGATTTATAGAGGCCTAAGCTCTTGTGTGTGTCTGAATTTAATGGGAGAGAGCAAACAGGACAGTGGATGCCTTATTGCAACATGCAGGCTGAAGAAATATGTTGTGATGTCTGAGCGCTCATGCTACAGCATTTCAGGCAGAGTAATTGGCTCAACACTCCAGAATTCTTACATACAAAAAGGAAAAGAAAATGATCAATACAGGGTATAGACTACAAAAGACTGCTGGCTGGTCTTGCTTGGGTAGGTTTGCAAACCATCTTCCCTGTCTGCCTACCTCTTAATAACTCTTTCTTCCTCTAAAAATCTGGCACATTTCAAAGGCTCAGTGCCTTTAATGAGCCACAGTGTTGTGCCAGTGCGGCTGCTGGTGTCTGGAATGAAGCTCGGAATAATGTTTCCCACTGCTACGGTAATGCAGCTCGTACGGCTGCGTGCTTCACCCGCAGAAGGTGGAGCTCACCTTTGTAAAATGTCTTTCTTGCTCCAATTTTGTTCTCCTGCAATCATCACTCCTGTGATGTGTGTGTGCGTGCGTGTGTGTGTGTGTGTGTGTGTGTGTTACGCCACCAGCTTCTTATGAAAACACAACAATCTTCAGAATAGAAGAGGAACAAAAGAAAAGTGGAGCAGTTACTTTCCTTCAGTTGTGCGTTCGTCCCCCTGTTGTCCCCTAACAGCTGCAGGGATGGAGCAGCCTGTCAAGGCGAGCCTGTTTGGAAAAGCAGAGGGCAAAGATGAATTGACATAAGAGGTCATTTGCTTTGCTCATATTTGGCCCCTTAGCTTTGAAGATGAAGTGGCATGAAAGGAGGTAGAACATCAGTGGGTAACTGGGTTGCTCTGAGGTCCAGGGACAGCTTCTTTCATGGTTTCCATCACTAGCTGAGGAAATGGCCCTTCTGTCACCAGCCCTCTGCTTTTTAGGAATAATCAATTCAGCTCTGAAGGCATAGGAGACATCCTCTTAGAGACTTCGGCAAAGTGAGCGTGTCCCTGCCAACCTCAATCCCAGCATGTGCTTATTGATGCTTTACTATTTCATGTAAATAATGTCGTCGCAATACTTAGCTTTTATATAGTGTTTGGCTTCAGTGCACTGGAAAAAGAAAATGAGCTCATACTGTTAAATAATCCTATAAGCAGTTGTGTATAAGATCAAGAATGCATGTAGAGGAAGCTCCCTGTGGAGAAGAAGAGTGGAAGCCCAAATCTGACAAACTAGTCAGTTAATTGGTTAACTGAGGTCATAAATGGGGGCCTTGGGAGACGCAGCGTGGATGGAAAAAAGGTACAAAATGTCCTGAAGGGGGAACAAAGGATCGCAGTTCTGACCACTAGGCCTACGAGATGTGTCACAGGAGCAGGGAACAAATGACCTGCTCTACAAACCATCCAGAGTGCAGGTGGGAATAGTAAGGAAGAGGAATAGCACAGGGGTAGACCACCGAGAGCTGAGCAGTGCTGGAAGAACTGGGAGAAAGAGGTGTGACGCACCACCAGTACCAAGTGACTGGTGGACCTAAGAGCAGAACACAGCGACTTCCCAGAACAAGAACTAGTCGTCCTCACAAAGGCAGACATCCAACAGCTGCAGGATGAAGAGCTGGATCTAACATCTGACATTATCCAAAACTGCTGGCTAAAGAGGCTAACAGCTCTCCATGACTGCACGAGTCACTACATGAGCACAGCTCAGAAAGCTAACACCAGAGAGCTCCTGGTTGGTAGAGCAGTACAGCAGGACTCTAAGACCAGGCCTCGATTCACTACAAGAAAGAGTGCGACTCACTGCCTCGTGCATGTGTGTTAATAACGTTCATCAGAAGCTCAGTGGGACTGTGGAGGTACAAAATGTCCCGAAGGGTGTTTCCAAAAAGGAAACTTCATAAAAACACTTAAGGTTATGAAAATGATTTTAGATTTAGCAATTCAATGA